GATGCCCTCCAAGGTCCCATCGCGATCTATGATATTATATCCTCTAAGGCAGTATATTCAGTGCGATGCCCTATGTGCCGCAAGTGTAATTTTGGATTCTGCAGAATATAATTCATGCTGAAGAAGGCAGCCTGTTTGTAAGTGGATTGGCCATCTATAAATCTGATACAAGGCTTAAGTAATGAAATTAATTGGGGGGTGGAGAGTGAGTTCAGAAATGAGTTTGAAAATGGCTAAATCAATAAAAGTGTCACTTAAAAAAACTGATTCTGATTTTTCCATTAGTTTCATCCTGGTCTATACAGTTCTCTCTATCAGAACAGATCTTGTCTCTTTGTAGGTGGGCTAGTCTATTTACAAATAGGTCTGTTTTGTATACGGGTCTTAACATATATGTAGTCAAGGTTCACTGAAGACAAATAAATGCATTCTAATTATATCTTCAACCTAATAATCTGCGGTGTTTCATATACAATCTGCTTTCTCTGTGTGATCCTGCTGAATTAATATAAGTGCAGTGTTAGTAATCTTATAACCTGCTCATATGATTTGGTTTGGATGTCCTAGCTTGATCTGATTCCTGTAGCAGAGCAGCAAAGTACTTTGTATGCTTAGTATGTGTGTGTATACCCCCCCCCCAACACACTCACAATATATGTCTATTTGGGTCATGGGAAACAAGACTGTCAAGCTCTCTCTAGGACCACAAAATGGGAAAATAAGGTTTTAAATGACAAACACACTGATTATTTCGCCAATTTGTTCCTAAGCCTATTTCAAGGAAATGGCTTGAAAAGTAGATCTTGGGCAGTCCTGAACAACACTTCTCCTCTCCTCCCCAACTCAAAGTGAAACTCCCAGCATTGATCTACATTTTGATTAGGATTTTGCACTTTCTTAAATTAGGTGAAAGTGCTGCTCCATCTGGGCCTTTCCACCACATCTGTCACATCTACAAAACTAGACCCCAAAGTATTAGTTACTCCTGGCTCCCCAGAGGTCCGTTAATAAACAATGGACTACAGAATCTTTAAAAAAATATTTTCATAACTTTGGCCTTATGATTCTCTCTTGTTGCTTTGCCCTTCAGAAGGACAACCTTGGTTTCCGGATCTAAAGAAGGGGTTAGCATTTGTTGTAGCAACTGTATGTCTGTAGTCACCTAATTCCATAATATACATGCTTTAACCTCCTCTCCTCTTCTCTATACTTGTTCTAATAACAATAATACTTTAAACTTATGAAGACCCAGTTTACATGAGCCTTTTTTTCCTTAAACAGATCTTTAGAATTTGAAAGGACCCTTAGAGAGTATCTAGGTAGGCCCAGACAAAGGAAGTGACTTATCCAAAGCCTCACTGTTGGGAGGAGGGCTGGGATTTGAAATCAGATATCCTTTCAACAGTATCATTAGTTTAGAGCTATAAGATATCTCAGTAGTAATTTAGCCAAGATCCTGGTTTTACAGATGAGGAAAGTGAAGCTCAGAGTAGTAAGATGATCAAGTAACAGAATTATTAAGTATCAGAATCAGGGTTTGACATGGTGGACATGGTAGCTCTTTTTCCCTAACAAGAAGGGAGGCCTCATTTAGGTCACCTTACCCTATCCCATCCAGAAGCTCTTCTGAGGTGAGGCAATGAGCCCATTCAGCACAGACACGATGGGGAACACTATGGAGGCAAGTACTTTCAGAACTTGTGGCTTTGTGTGTAGTAAAATACTTCCCTGGGGCAGCTAGGTGGCACAGCGGATAGAGCACCGGCCCTGGACTCAGGAGGATCTGAGTTCAAATCCGGCCTCAGACCCATAACACTTACTAGCTGTGTGACCCTGGGCGAGTCACTTAACCCCATTGCCTACCCCCCCCCAAAGTGTCAGATTAGAAGAACTGTGTTTGAATTCTGACTCTGTATGTGACCTTAGGTAAGTAAATTTGACTCTGTTAGCTTCAATTTCATGATCTGTTAAATGAGAAGTTTGGAGTAGATTTCTAATATTTCTTCCAGCTCTATAGATTAAGGCAAATTGGGGTTAAGGAAATCTAGGTCAGCTTTTTCCAGAAATAGCACCTGGAAACAGGACAAATGAACATTTTTGGAGTTCTGTCTCTACAACTCTGCTGTTTCCTCTTAAATGTGAATATTCATGGAGAGATATCACAGCTTAAGCTCCTATCTACCTTTAGCTATAGAAAATATTGCAAGCCCCCCCCCCCCGCTGTGGAACTGCCTGCTAGATTTTCTCCCATTTAATTTTTATATGGATATATATTTAAAAAAAACTGCTGTCCTAGAGGGGAAGACATATAGGACAAACAAACCGTATTATTGCTATTTATCCAGAAATCTTTCTAAAAATCCCACATCCCTGGGAACAATCATACCTTAGGCATATTTTAGTGCGTTGCTAAAAAACAAGTATGGGAACAGGTTGGGATCTGGGGCTAGGGAGTGCCAGGAAAGAGTAAAGAGGCAATGAAAAGAAAGGTTAAAAAATGTCCCAGACCTCACCTATTTTACAGTTTTCCTTAAGAAGATAACTATAAGCTGTGCCACTCATCTTCAGTGTTCTTTCCCTGCTCTATGAGGTTGGCATTTAAAAAATTTTATCACCCACTGATATTGTATGGTCATCTAGTCATGCTACATGGTTAAGATCTGAGTAATGTCTACTTAAAAATTAAAAATTATATCCATGATATGCAAATATTATCAGACTTCAAAAATGACTAAAATTATACTATGTAAACGCCAGAAGCTCCCTGAGAAAAGGTTATATGTAATACATGTAAGCAGTAGTATATAAAAGGAGACCTGTTTCTCTAAATTCTTGGCTAACAGATCAGATATTTTGTTATTTGATTTTTTTTTAAAAAAAAGTGGGCTTTCTTACAGAGCTGTCTCAGTTAGAATAAGTGTCATAGAATTCCTAAGCGGAAAGAATAAAGGTATAGGTTTGGCAGAGAAAAAGAAAATGTGGAAATCAAGTGCCAAAATAAAGCCAGTTATATTGGCAACTAGAGTGATTTCATGTACATTATGGACGTGTTATAGAAAAGGAAATCCATCTGTTGGAGAGATGGTAATTTAAAAAGTAACTTCTGGAAATTTGCCACATTACCAGGAAATTTATATAGTAAAACAGAGGCCAGAAGGTAGGCCTTTAGCGACTTGGAGCTTCTCAAGTGTCTTCCAGTTTGCCTAAAGGTGCAAACTTCTTTTGCATGGGCAGAACCTTTTATGATGAAGAACCTGATTGGAAACATCCAATTCAGAAAAGCTGAACCCCCTGTCTTCCTATGAAGATAAGCTTACCAGACCTCCTATGAAGTTTTTGCAACTTTGTTCCAGCATGGAGCTTATTTTTCTTGGAGAAGGCGTACAAATGCTGAAGAGTTCTTTGACATACTCAAAATATACATGAACCCAGAAGCTGTACCAGGCCTGGACAATCAGATCAAGCACTAAGAAGGCTGGACCTAGTGGCTTTCTTGACTTCTGGAGAGGATGTATATTTCTATTTTTCCTCTCCTTGCATATAACCCTTTTCTTCTTGACTTCCCACTTCCAGTGACCCAAGAAAAGGCATTTATTTAAAAGGTGGGCTGTTTGTTCTTTGTTCTCGAAGAGGACCATGATATAATGGAGGTGATGCCCTGACATGAAAGTGAATTGGATTTAAGTGAGGGAGTCCTGTGCAAAGTCACCAGCCTCACTTTCTCCTCTGGAACCATCTGGGTCTAGTGGCCAGATATGGATCAGGACAACTGAACATGCCCCAGGATGCATTAGGGACCTCGGCCTTTTCAAGCTAAAGTCTTTAACAGGTCTCAGTTTGACTGAGGCATCGCCCATTCAGTGATTCAAGGCTTAATATGGATTGAGGCAGAGAATGGCCTCTTTACCTAGTCAAAAATTAAAAAAAAAAAAAAGAAACTATCTGAGAGGGGTAGACCCTCAGGGTTTCTGGCCAAAACAGGAACAAATGCTATTTACATTAAAAAAAAAAAAGGTGAGTATTAAGATGATAGAAGAAAACTTCATCAACCCAGAAGGGGACTGAAGACATGGGAGACTCCAGGGTGTGCTTTCAATGCCATAACCATTTAAGTTCAGCCCTGCTACTAACAATAAATTATTTTACTGTATGTAGGCATTTGGATCCATTTTTATCAGGATCATAATGAAAACCCTCATGTACTATTTTAGTCTTTTTAAACTACTGTTACATTTATTTTCTTGAGTATTACTATTTCCATTTTACAGTTGAGGAAACAGTTCTCTGTACTTCAAACTACCTTAAGGTGCAAATCTAGTACATGCTCTAGCACAGTTTTTTTTTTTTATAAAAGCGCCTTGTAGTGTTGAAAAATACATATATTCTTTACTCCTCCCATTTAAGAAGATACCATGTCTTTCAGCAGAGTTGGGACTAAAAGTCTGCATTATGAAAATACAACAAAAATAATTTTCTCATACTTACCGTCACTGTGATTAATTTTGCTTAAATCACTGATGTGACTCAAGATCTTTTCTTTTTGTCTCACTGTACTTGTGTTTATTAATTTTCTATATACTGTGTCTTTTTCTAAGAAGTTTTTCTTTGCTTTTTCTCATCATTAATTTTCTTCCTTTCCAATTCTTAAACTTTATTCTCTGATTTATTATATATACTCTTATTTATTTCTTCTCTAATTCTTCTATGCCTTGTTGGGGCTAAAGTTTCTTAAGCATTAGGGTAGAGTTACTCATTCTAACCAGATTCTCTATTATTGCCTTGATAGATCTTGTCTTAATATCTTTTCCCCTTCATATCCTTTCCACTACATGGAAACAGTCCTGTGTCCCAAACTGTGCAATATGGTCCTGTTCCTTGCCTTTTCCATAATAATTTCATTTCCCAAAGGCTGTTTCATCTTTGAGTCCAAGTCTCTTTCTTTCCTTCTCACTCCACCATTTTGGGTACCAATGCCCCTAGGATCTCAAATATCCCTTAACCTGTGCCAGGCTGTCGTGCCCCTTGGAGGCACAACAGTATCTGAGAAGATAATCTTCTAACATATGTACTGTCCTCAAATTAAACCCATCATGAGGTCTCTGTCTCCATTTTCTTCCAGCTCCCTTTTTCAAAAATATAGTAGAAGGGGCAGCTAGGTGGTGCAATGGATAGAGCACCGGCCCTGAGGTCAGGGGGATCTGAGTTCAAATCTGGTCTCAGACCAAACACTTGACATTTACTGGCTGTGTGACCCTGGGCAAGTCACTTAACCCCAATTGCTTTAAATATACACACACACACACACACACACACACACACACACACACACACACACACATATATATTTTAGAGAGAGAGAGAGTAGAGGAATATAATCTCTCTCCATATTGTGGACTTGGTAGGATTCATAATCCATTTCCCTATTTATATATCTTTTCCTCTCCCTATTCATATATCTTCTTTCTCTGCTATTCTGTCCCACAAAATAGGGGTTATGAGATGTCGTATGAACTAATTCATGGTGTTTCAGTTTGTTCTTTGTCTTCACTTTTCCTGTTTCAGTTCTGCTTATATCTTTATCCTCATGTGTTTCTTTAAAAAAAAATCCCTTGATTCCTTTTTTCTTTCCAACAGCGTAGGTCTTTATCTCTCTAAACATGGGATAATTTTATTACTTTTACCTTTCTTATGTTTATTTTAATATTCTGTTCACATTTAAAAAATCATTTTGTTTTAAAAATGCCTCTTGTTGAACATCTATCTTATTTCATTTATTATTAGACTCAGGTTTGCAGAGTAGGTCATTTTGGGTTGCTGTTTGTGCTCCTTTGCTTCTCAGGACGTACTATTCCATCCCCCTTCTGTGATTTCTCATGACTACATTATCTTACGTTATTCAAACTTCTTTTGTATCTAAAGGTATTTCTCCTGGCCACTTAAAAATTTTGTTGTCATTTAAATGTTTAATTTACCACTTTTATTCTTAAAGTTGGAACCTGGAATTTTCTTCTGGAGGTGATCTGTGTATTTTCTCAATTGGTGCTTTGTTGTCTTTAGAAGTTATGGACAGTTTTCTTCTATTTTCTGTATGATGCCATTTATGTTTTTTGATTTGTTGTAGACCGTCTTAAGTTATCTTGGCATATCCTATCTTCAGGGTCAATGGCTTTGGCATGTATAGAATTAATGTGTTCTGTTAATGGTGTAGCCATTTATTTCTCTTCTGAAAGATCCTTCCCTTCCTAAGTATTTCTATTTTCCAAATCTGTTAAACTCTTTCACTTCTTTAAGAATACTTTCTGTTATGGATTCATTTTTTCCTAATTTTCTAGATGAGTTTTAAAATGCTGAATTGAAAACTCTAAATTCTGACTATATTCCTAGTTTCTCCTTTCATGGGTTTCATTTATTTTCTGAAACATTCTGGCATTTCTTGCTTGCTCTAGGCTCTCTTGGGAGTATGTAGGCTTCCATATTTCATCAGGCATTGGTTCAATTTTATTTGTCTTCTATGTTTGTTAAGAGATCTTTGTATTCCCTTTGAAGATTTGGTACTCATTCTTCCTTCTGGTTTTAGGACTGATTTATTTACTAGTACTCTGAGCTTTTTTTTTTGAGTTTTTTTTATTGCTATATTTGGTGTTAAACCTTTCGGAGGGGTATATCTTTGCTACACTTACTTTCTGGCTTCTCCCACTTTTTCTAATGAGTATACCCTCCAAAGCTGAGCTTCAAGGCTGCTTTGCGTTGGGGGATAATGAGTTTACCAGCCTGGATTCCTGTCCTGAGTATCCTCTGAGGGGACAGGGCTGAGTTCTAGCCCCCTTTCCTTCAGACCTGGTATAGCCATAATTGTTGGCTCCCTCCCTCCTTCCCAGCTCCTCTCTTGACTGTCTTCCTTCAGAAACTGTCTTACTTTTTTTTTTTTCTGGATAAGGAGTATATTAAGGTAGAGTCTCTAAAGCCTTGTAGAGTTCCTAACCTAAGGCCAGGTGCCATTCAGAAGGCAGCACGTTTCATTTCTTCCCCTTCCTAGGCTGAGAAGGATCAGTTTATGCCATTTGTTGTGGAATACTAAAAGAATGGAGAAATGTCATAGGAAAATCTTTGCAAATGGGGTGCATAAATCCCTCAGTGCACCCTACACACAAGCCTTTGAGTCAGCTTGTATCCTATAAGAACTATTCCTCCTGTGGGAGTGGGGAGATTAAAGGGATTAGGGTGCTGAATGAGTGCATTAAGGACTGGATTTCATCATTGTTAATACATAAGGATTTTACTTTGTCAAGGTTTTTGCCTTTAAATCCTGTGGTTTTAGGTGTAGATATTCTATGATTGGCACATAACAATCAATGATGGTCTCATGACTCCACTAGACCTAAAAGAGTTATAACAGACAAGAAAAAAATTACCTGTGCAAGTAGACTGGTTGGATCTGGAGAGGCTGAGCTCCTGGAGCCTGAGTGACAATTGGAACTGCATTCTCCATCCGCACAGAATAACCAGCATGCTTTGAAGGGGAGGCTTGTAATCCTTTACCAGGAAATAAATAAAAAAGTTTTTTAATAAGTTGTTAACAGAAACTCTTCTTAACTTGGCTGCAATTTTAATGGAAAATAAAGTGTTTTTTCGAAGAGATGCTTAATTGTTGTTGTACAGTCATTTTCAGTCATGACTGATTCTTGTGACCCTATTTGGGGTTTTCTTTGCAAAGATACTGCAGTGGTTTGTCATTTCCTTCTTCAGCTCATTTTACAGATGAGGAAACTGAGACAAACAGAATTCAGTGACTTGCCCAGCATCACATAGCTAGTAAGTGTCTGAGACCAGATTTGAAGTTGGGAAGATGAGTCTTCCTAACTTTAGGCCTGGCACTCTGTCCACTGTGCCTCCTTGCTCTAAAACAGAAAATACTGAAGCCAACCTTGAAATGAAGATGCCTGTTATCTGAGAGCAAGGGCATAATTAAGGATTTTATGAAGATAAGCAATGTATTTAGGCAAGAGTCAACTGCTGTTTGGGAAACTGTAATAGAAAGATCTTAAACTAGCTACCTTTCAAAATAATGTTGTATGCTTCAAGAATGGAAAGACTAAATATCCTAAATCCTGGATTCTAGTAGCTTTAATGTTGGCTACCTTTCTAGACTTATGTTTCCTGACTTCTAAATAGCTGTTATATATTTTACCTCTAAGGGTTAAGAGAACCAATGTTTGAGATTTCTGGATAAACACAAACATATATAGTCATCTGCCTATGGGGGGGTTGGGGTGAGGGTGGGTAACAATGTAGGTAAATCCAAAAACAATTTGGCTTTAAAATCTTTTTAGCCAACATGTTAATTTTCATAATTAAATTTTACTTACATGGAAACAAAAATTCCACAGCAAAACCACACTAATGGAGAGGCAGTGTGATGTAGAAGGATAAAGAGTAGGCATTTGAGTCAGGAAAGCTTGGGTTCAAGACCTGCTTCTGACACTGAATCAAGAAATTGACTCGTGAACATAATAGTAGTACAAAGCAGTATAATTTTTTTTTTTTACTTAACCTGATCTAGCAGAGGCAGCAACATTCAAATAGTAAGCCTGACTAGCAGATTAATTTTATGTAAAAGTATATTATTTCTAAGTTGATAAAAAAAAATGACAAGAGTTAGAATCTAGTTAAGCTACTACTCCAGTACTAAACACAATGGAAAACAACTGACATTCTCATTAGGATGCTCACAAACTCTTCCCCTCTAGAAACTTCAAAGAGTAAGATTCTATGACACCAAAATCGTCTATGGCAGAATATTCTGGATGTCAGAAAACTGGAAGTTTTCAAGTGACTGGAAGACAAGAACATGTGTAGTATGACAATAGTCATCCCTCTACAAGAATCTGTCTTTCCTTACCTTGAAAGCCTGGGGGACACACGATAAGGGCTTGCTGGAAGGGGTCAGGCCGAGCACAAATCTGCGCTGTTCCAGTCTGCAGGGGCATACTCCGCTGGGCCACTGCAGCCATGGATGCCGCTGAGGGCTGGTAGAGTGTAGATTGGTAGTTTAGTATGGAGACTTCGGGATTGGCTAAGGAAATAGTGGCACTGGTGGAGGTGGGAGCCAGGTTGGTGGCCTAAAGGAATGATGGGAATTAAACAAAAATAAATAAAAATAAAAAATGAGGGAGGTGGTATGTTGGAAGACACAACGCTAAAGCAAATAAATGAACACAAAGAAGAACAAACAAAAACCAAGAGCAAAAGCAAAGACAGAGGGGAGTGGAAAATAGAATTGAAAGGTCTCACAAGGAAATTTAGGTACCTGCTGACAACTGAGGACCCACAGCACATTTCTGTGATCACAAATACTCCCCTCATGGCTAGAGGGCAAATTCCCTCTGTAGAGAGATTGTATTTATTTAACAGGAAGGAATAAACTGTTATTCAGAATTACACATTGTTTGAGGTCTCTGTGTCCTCATGGTGATTGTGTTCAACTGCTAAATCTTATGAACAGCAAAGATGAGAACAAATGGTCAAGAGAGTTTAACTAAAGATGTCTCACTGTGGGCCACTGAAATTATTCTCACCTCACTTCCTCTCATTAAAAAAAATCTTTTAGAATTATGTCTAACTGGTAGGCAGAGACTTCAGAAGGAAATCAAATTCTACTTCCCTTCTCACACCCCTGTCAGCTTTCTTTCCTGCACTTCTTCAGAGAGTAGACAGAGCAATGTTTGTCCTTCAGTAACACTGCCTGTGAGAGTTTGTGTTCCTGTGTCAGTCAACAAGTATGTGCGACATGTTAATTATGTCATATGTGCAGTGCTTGGCGCTGTGAGAGAAGCTAAGAACTCTGTGGCCTCTGCTTAAAATCTAGATGGGAAGACGAGACTAATTATGTGAAATAACAAGAAAAAATGAATATATAAATAAATGCAAAAATATGTGTCTAATAGATTCCAGATGCTGTCAGAATTAAGATAGGAACATGAGTGAAGTCTGAGGTAATCAGAGAGTCCTTCAAGCAGAGGTGACTTACGCTAGGACATGAAGGATGTGTAGACTTCAGTTAGGAGAGAAGACCAAGAGCAAAGATACAAAAGTAGAAAGAGTGAATCAGACTTTCAAGGGTCAGAAGGGACTTAAAGACTCTAACCCAACTTACAACTCTTGAGGCAGTCCATTACATTTCTGGATAGCTCTAAATATTACAAATTTTCCTTACATTAACACAAATGGAAAACCTATTCTTTAGAATGAATATCCTTGGTTCCATAATGTGGCATGAACGCAAGGCTTTTTACTATCCCAGTTCTTTTCTGGACACTCTAATTTATGAATGTCCTTCCTAAAACGTGGCATCCAGAACTGAACTCAACATCCCAGATGTGGTCTGACCGACGGGACATTAAACTATACTTATCACCATACTTATCAATGCAGCCGAAGATTGTATTTGCTTTCTTAGATGCCTTATCCCACTTTTTTTCCACTGGTCCACGAAAGTCTCCAGATTGTTTTCACACTACTGTCTAGCCATATCCCTCCCATTTTGTACTCTTATTTTCTGAACCCAAGTGTAAGACTTCGTATTCTTCTCTGTTACACTTCATTTTATTCCATTTTGCCCCATAGAATTTAAGTGCCTTGAGGGCAGAGAGGTCCCATAGAATTTAAGTGCCTTGAGGGCAGAGAGGTCTTCATTTTTGTCTTTTTAGCTCCAGTGCTTGGCATAGTCTCTAGAACATAATAGGGACTTAAATGTTTATTAATTGGGCTTGTAAATTCAAGCCTGTCAAGATATTTTTTAATTCTAATTTTGTCTCTTAGTTGTCTCTCCCAGCAAATCTTAAAAGTCTGGAATCTGTGCTTTTATTTGGCTTATTGATAAAAATATTAAGCAGAACAGATTCTTAGGATACCCCACCGGAGTTTTGCTAAGTCATTATCAACAATTAACATCAATTTTGATGAATCATTTAATCAGTTCCATATCCATCCAATTGTATTATTTTCTAGTCCATTTCTTTTCATTTTCCACAGGAAAAACATACAAGAAAAATTTACATTTATAAAATACTTTCCTCACAATAACTTTGTAAGGTAAGTAATGCAAGTATCATCCCCATTTTATAGATGAGATCACTAAAGGAAAAATTGTTAACTGACTCACCTAAGGTTATATAGTTAGTGAGTGAAATGTTGGAGCCAAGACTCAAATTCAGGTCTTATGATTCTAAAGCCCTTGTATATTACACTACACGTTATGATCAGAAAATAATGAGAAGACCAGGAAGATTAGAACAGAGGGTTCAAATTGGAGAATTATAGGAAGACTAGAAAGAAGGGATGAGTCAGATTATGAAAGCTCTAGAAGGCCAGGTGGAAAAAAATGAGGCTTGATATAGTAAGTAGCAAGGAGTTATTAGCCTTTGGAGCAAAGGAGTAAGATGATATGGTGACAGCAATGTTTAATTAGGGATTAGTCTAGTAGGAGTATGTCAGATGTATTGCAGGAAATAGAGGGTTAACTGAGGAAGGGGTGCTCAGCTGGGAGACTGATGAAATTGTCTAAGCATGCAGTATTAAGTGCCTGGAGTAGGAAGTAGCCATGGGAACGAAGAGAAAGGAACTGAAAGGAGAGAAATTTCAAAATAAGAATAAAGAGAAATTGCTGGGTACAAGACATGAAGGAGAGGGATGAGTCAAAGATGACTAAAACTTTTGAGTCTTGGTGGCTTGGGAAACTGGTGGTCCTATGGGCAGAGATGGAGAAGCTGCTTTGAAGAGCTTAATTTCATTAACTCATTTATTTGTTTATTTATTTGTTTATTTTTTTGGCAAGGCAGTTGGGGTTAAGTGACTTGCCCAGGGTCACACAACTAGTAAGTGTCAGGTCTCTGGTCTGAGACCAAATTTGAACTCTAGTCCTCCTGACTCTAGGGCTGGTGCTCTATCCACTGTACCACCTAGCTGCCCCAAGAGTTTAATTTTAGATATGTGTTTTGACAGCAAGACATTGAGGTAGAAATGTGTTCAGTACACAGCTAAAGATACAAGACTGCAGCTCAGATGAGAAGCCAATGGAGGAGATCAGTAGTCTACAAACTGACTATTGATTGATGGATGCTGTTAAAACAGATGAGCTTTATGGAGAAGAAAATGTAGTAAGAACAATAAAAGGCTGAAGACAGCCTTGCTTGGGGAATATCATAGTTTGGGAACAGGAAACTAGGAAAAGAAATATAAGCTGAGAGGGAAGAAAAGCAGGATGATACAGCATAATGGAAGGCAAAAGAAGACAGAAATCTCAAGAATTTGCTGAACAAGTATTAGATGCAATAAAGAAGTAAAGGAGGGGCAGCTGGGTGGCACAGTGGATAGAGTGCCGGCCCTGGATTCAGGAGGACCTGAGTTCAAATCCGGCCTCAGACACATAACACTTAACTAGCAGTGTGACCCTAGGTAAGTCACTTAACCTCATTGCCTAGCCAAAAGAAAAAAAAAGGAAGTAAAGGAATAGCTGTTTGTAAATCAAATTACATTTTGAATGCAGTGTTGCTCTTAATATTGAAAAGAATTACAGAGTGAATTACAAATTTGCAAGTCACCACCCAAGGGATTTTTTTTTTAAAAGTTTGGCATATCTAACTTGAAAAACAAAAACAAGGTACAACCTATACTTTTGTCTGGAAGAAGCTAGAAAAGGTTTATGTTAATCTATTTTATTCATTGATTAAATGGCTGGTGAAGAAAAAACAAACAAGTTACATATTCCCTCACACTATTTTCTCTAGCATTCTCTAACTGCCTAGTTGATATCTTTATTTAGATGTCCTGCCTTCTTCATCTCTGCATGTCTAAATCTGAGATCATCTCTCCTCAAAAAAACAAACTAAAACAGCTTTCCCTTTTAATTTCCCAATTTTTGTCAGTGATATCATAATTCTCTCAATCTTTGAAACCCCAGAAAGGTCCTTGACTCTTCACCCTTCCTTACACTTCATAATCCAATCAGGCACCAAGTTCGTTAGTTTTCCTTTGTAATATCTTTTGAATCTATCCCTTTTTTCTATTACCACTACCACTACCTTAGTCCATACCCTTAGCTCATGGTTAGTCTATAATCATTTTTCCCTTTGCATAAAGTTTTCAAATTCATCTAACATATCTGCAGCTGCTCAGAAACTTCCAGTGCATCCTGACTAGCTAGAAAACAAGATCTGTACTCCTAACATGGCTTTTAAGGCTTTCTACAATCAGTTCCAAACGAATCTACTATTACTTCTCTATAAGAATTTCTACCCAACATTTCTAGATTAAGTTCCCTTCTCCACTTCCACACCTGCCACTCTAGTTAAGGCCCTCATTACTAGTCACTGGGACTATTGCAACAGCCAGCCCCCTAATAAAACAAAACAAAACCCAGTGGCTTCCTATTACATATACCATAAAATATAATTAAATATACCATAAAGTCCTCTGTTTGACATTTAAAGTTCTTCACAACTTGGCCCCTTGTATCTTTCCAGTCTTCTTATACATTGTTCTCCTCACATTCTATGACCCAGCTCTACTGGCCTGCTCACTGTTTTGTACATGCAGTTCTCCATTTCCTATCTTTACAGGCTGCCCCTCCTGCTTGGAAAGGATTCCTTCCTCATCTCCACGCCTTGGAATCCATGGGTTTACTTTATTTTTTATTTATTTTTGCTTTGCATTTTTAAAGATTTGTTCAAGCTTATTACTGTCTATTTAGACACAACCTAGAAACTGCTACAATTGTTTAGAAAGGGAGAGATAATCAACAACTTTCTTTTTTTCCTCCATTTTATTTTTTAAAGAATGCTTTTTTTTTCTCACATGTAAAAATGATTTTTAACATTTGCTTTTTATAATTTTTGAGTTGCAAATTGCCTCTCTCCTTTGCCATGCCTCCCTCCTTAAGAAAGAAGGCAAGCAATTTGATATAGATGTGCAATCATGTAAAACATTTCCATATTAGCCATGTTGCAAAAGAGAACACAGACAAAAAGAAAACAGGAAAAATAAAGAAAAGCTTAGAAAGTACACTTTGATCTGAATACAGACTCCACGGCATGGTTTACTTTAAGACTGCTCAAGAGCCACCTTCTCCATTAAGCCTTTGCTGGTTTTCTCTCCCTTTTCCTTCCCCTCCCCTCCCCCAGGCTGCTAGTGCACTCACTCCCAAAACTCTTTTGTATACGTTTTACATCTTATTTATACATATTATCTCCAATTAGAAATGTACACTCTCTGAGTGCAGGAACCGCTTCTCTAATTTAGTCTTTGTACCTTCAGTGCTCAGCACACGCCTGGTGCATTGTAAGTGCTTAATAAGCGATTGTTGATTTGAGAGCCTTCTGTTCCATCCAAACTAATTTATTTCTAGTTCCTACACATGGCTAGCACATTTATACTTTCCTAGCATTGCTAAACTCTCCCCATTCCTCTGTATATATTTAAGTCCTATCTTTTTTTTTTAATGTAGCTGATGGTCCCACTGATTCCATGAAGCCTTCTCTGATCAAGCTTAAAGTGATTTCTCCCTTTTCTGAACTACTATAGCATTAATTGTGTATTGTATATTTGGCACTCAGTGAGTGCTCTATTTTTAGTGATCTTTTTTATGCAGAAGGCTTGTCTTACTCTAGACTGTAAGCTCCTTCAGAGGAGCACCTATCTTATACCTCTCCATATACCTAGCACAGTTCCTTGAACACAGGCATTCAATAAATGCCTGATGAGGAAATATATGTTTGTCTTTTGGCGATTCTTTTTTCTTTTTTCTTTTTAGGTAGTTGGGGTTAAGTGACTTGCCCAGGGTCACACAACTAGTAAGTGTCAAGTGTTTGGTCTGAGTCTGGATTTGAACTCAAGTCCTCCTAACTTCAGGGCCGGTGCTCTATCCTCTGCGCCACCTAGCTGCCCCTTGGTGTTTGTCTTTTGGAGGAGACAAGGCATACAGGTGTGTGACTCATTGGGATAGCAGAAATGGTGGCCGAGGAGAAACAGAACAGAAGATATCTAAATGCATATCTTCTCTTAGTATCTTTCATATCTCTTAATCATCTCAGCTTCTAGTTTTCCCCCATCCTTAGTTACAAAGCCTTTCTTTTCCTTTCAGAGTCCCCTTCTCCCACACTCAATTTTTTCAGTACAGGACATAAAAAGTACTTTTAATTTCTTCAATATACAAAGACTACCATCTATTACAGGTCACTAAACTTTAGCTTGGCAGAGTTGAGAGCTGTAGTTTCTGGTCTTGGTTGTGCCATTAATCAGTTGTGTGACTGTGAGCTAGTTATTTAAACTACCCATATCCCAGTTTCCTCTTATGTAAAAGGAAGGGACTGGACTACTTGATTTCTAGACTACGAGGACTAACAGATTTTAGTATTCAGTGCTGAATAAATGTCGAAGATAAAAGCTAGCATCTCCCTGCCATTGGTCTCACACTGGGAGAAAGAAAAGAACTATAAAATGCCTACCATGTGGCTCATTTAAGAAAACTTATTCTGGCTAAACCAATGTCCAAAACAAAAGAGATTTAGTTTCTCAGAGAAAATATGGTCAGAAACAAACTCTATTAAATCATACCTATCCATTTATCTATTTATCGTATTTCATATTTAATTGTGCTGAATTCTGGACCTGAAACAATTTCAGTGGAAGATGATGCCTGATCCCCAGAATGTTCTGCAAAGTACATAGAGCAAAGGCCCTCTTATGTTACATTGCAGCTAATGATGTCACTCTGGCATGTTCTTCCTCTCCCTCCCACCTCTGGCTCTTGCCTTACCTGGTTGTGGACAGTGTTCAGCTGGTTGTTAAAGGTCATGGTTAGGTTGGTAGATGTGCTGGGGGCCACGTGGGTGATGAAAGGTGTTTTACTCTGATTCACTGTATCATACATATTCACCCGGCGCTTGCAGATCTCCATGTTCTGGAAGCAAGACTTGACACTTTTCATCATGAAGGGGGAAGAATAGATGAAGGGAGACAAAAGAATTGGGACAAAAGGAAATGGGGTGGGTGGGAAGGAGATGGAGAGGAAAAAAAAGAGAAAGTGTTAAAGAGAACTTAATGAAATCAATTACAGAATTTCAACTGTATGTCAAAATTTCTTGCTTCTATCTCTAAACAGAGGCTATGTATTAGCAATACTTAAAATTCTTTAGATAAAGGGAAAAAAATTTTTTCTTGCACTCATAGGTAAAGGAAATATGTAGTACGTACAAGCTGATAAGTAGATCTAGTTAAAATCTTATGTCCTTTATATTTTTAACAATCCTCTAGCCCAAAGGTTCTTTTTTTTTTTATTTTTATGGCAACTGGGGTTAAGTGATTTGCCCAGGGTCACACAGCTAGTTAAGTGTGAAGTGTTTGGTCTGGTTTGAACTCAAGTCCTCCTGACTTCAGGGCCAGTGCTCTATCCACTGCGCCACCTAGCTGCCCCTTAGCCCAAAGGTTCTTAACCTTTTTTGTGTCATGGATAGTTTTTGGCAGTCTGAATATTTTTAAGTGACAAAATAAAATACATAGGAATACGAAGGGAAAAAAAAATTTAAAAAAAGTTCATCAACTCCAGGTTAAGACTCCCTGCTTCTAGCCCATATTCCTTTTCTCCATTTTCAACCCTTAATAGGGTTTTATTCACATAATTACAATTTTAAGCCCCTTAAGAGCAGAAACTACATTTTCTCCTTTTGTATACCCCACAAAACTCCCTGATTTGTCAACACTTTCATACAAATGGTTAGTTGGCCATGATTTCCCCTCTGCTCCTGAGGCCATTCTCTCTCTTTCACTCTCACTCCAGAGAAGCAAGAGGTCCCAAGGATGACTATCATCTGAGGGCTGGTCCAGGGGAACTGCTTGACCCAACATCTCTTCTACATCCTTTATTTCCCCTCAGGGGTACTGCCTCTTTTTCTCTTCATTCCATTTATAAATTAAAAATAAAAAAGAGAGAAGCCCTAATGATATCTGAGCTGAGTACTTTGCCTCTTTGTTGAGGAAACTGAGGCCATTATTCATGAGCTCCCTCTTTGCTCCTCAAAATCACTCGACATCCTCCTCCACTCTGGTTCCTTTCCCTCAGGCTCTGATAATGAGATGGCCTTTCTCCTTACCAAAGCCAACCTCCTTCCACAAGCCCTTTATTTCACCCTCTCCTGTCCTCTCTAGCACATTTCCCTCTTAATCATCTCCTCTCTTCAACACCAATCATGGTTCCTTTAGCCTTCAAACAAACCCAAGTCACCCCTATCCTTAAACCTTCACTAAACCTTATTCTACTCTCAAGTTATTGTTGTATATCTCTTCTTCCTTTCTCAGTTAAAATCCTGCAAAATGCTGTTTATACTCGTTGCCTCCGCATTGTCTTACTCTTCAACCCTTGGCAGTCTGGCTACTCATAACTTGGCAGTTTTGACCTTATAATTCAACAAACCGTTCTCTCCAAAATGACCACTAATCTTGAACGGCGAAATCTGTAGGTTTTCTTATTGCTCATCCTTTTTGACTTCTGTGTTTCATTTGAAGCTGTTGATCACTTCCTGTGCTCTTGGAAATTCTCTTAGGGTTTTTGTGACACTATTGTTTCCTGATTCTTTTCTTTACTTGTTTGATCCTTCTCAGTCTCTTTTGCTGGCTAATTATCACCCCCTAAATGCAAATGTACCTAGGGCTATGTTCTAAGCATTTTTTCTCCCTACATTCTCTCTTGCTAACTTCATCATCTCCCATGGCTTTAATTATCATCTCTATACAGATATCTGTCTGTCTCTTTATCTGTCTCTCCCTTGAACTACAGTTTCACATCACTGTTGGACATTTCATTTAAATTGGGAGGCTCTGGAGACCTAACCAAAAACACAACTCATCCATTATCATTGCATCCCAAAGCCATCTCTCTTTCAAAATTCCTTTTACCTTCTAGTCCCTCAGGTTTATTACTTCAGCATTATTCTCAACTCTTCACTCCCCCTTACCCCATATATCCAAGCAGTTATCAAATCTTGGCATATCTGTCTCTATAATATTTTTTGTATCCAACTCCTTGTCTTTATTCACTTAGTTACTGATTTAGTTCAGGCCCTTATCACCTCTTGTCTGGACTAATGCAATGATTTCCTAATTGGTCTTCCTGCCTCATGTTTCTACTTATTCCAATCCATTTTCCACATAGCTGCCAAAGTGATTTTCCAAAAGCTTGGAGCTGATCGCATCACTAGTTTACTCAATAAACTGCAATGGTTCCTATTGTTTATAGAATAAAATACAGACTCCCAGTCTGGCTTTTAAAATCCTTCACAGCCGAGGCTTAATGTATCTTTCCGGTCTTAAACATTACTTTCCTTCCTGAACTTCATGATTCAGCCAAACTGGCTGTCTTTCTCTTTCTCATACACAGTGCTCCATTTTCCATCTCTGTACTTCTGCTGTGGTCTTCCCCCAGTGCCTGGCATTTACTCTCCTTGTTTTTGACAAATAGGAGTGTAAGTGCCACCTTCTATGTGAAACCTTTCCTGATGCCCTCCCCTCCTACTTTGTAATTATGTGTGATATACATTTCTATATTGGTTGTCTTCCTTAATAGACTAGAAGCTCTTTGAGAGTAAAGAATGTTTCATTCTTTGTATTTGCATCTCTAACACCTAGCACCGTGCCTGGTACATATTAGGAAACTAAGAAATGCTTACTGATTGATAAGAATGATGCTACTAGTATATGTATGTTAAAGAAAAAGAAAGTACACCAAACTCCAAAACCCCACGAGCACCCAAAAATCTTCAGATTCAGAAATGCTTCCTTGTTGTCCTCTTAATTAAAAATCTGCTTTTTTCATGTTCTCCCTATTGTATTTATACTAGTAACATCTAATAAGGATCACAGAATTTTGAGTTGGAAAGGGAACTTAAGACGTCATCTAGTCCAATCCCTTCATTTTATGATGAAGAGACTAAGACCCCAGAAGGTTAAGGGATTTTCTTCAAGTTGATAACTAATACCTGAGTGTAAGATTATATAATAGTTTCCTCCTAGAACCTTAGAGCTGAAAGGGACTTTGAGGTCACATGGCCCAGGTTCCTGCCTTCAGGTGAATGTATAATCATTCAGAATAAATGGTTTCTTTTTATTTTTTTGGGTGAGGCAATTGGGGTTAATTAAATGACTTGCTCAGAGTCACAACAGCTAGTGAGTATTATTTGTCTGAGGCCAGATTTGAACTCAGGTCCTCCTGACTTCAGGGCCAGTACTCTATCCACTGCACCACCTAGCTGCCCCCCCAACAAGAATGTTTTTTATTTCTTTTTGGACAAATGGTTTCTTGAAATTCTCTTGACATGGAGACATTATAAACTTTTCCATTAACTCATCCCAGCATTTTATCAACATAACAATTAAGAAATTCTTCCTTTACAATCATCGAAGTCTTTCTGGCTTTAGTTGAAGTCTATTTCTTATTCTGTTAATCTTGCATAGAAATTGCTCAGCCAGCTCTTTTAAAGACTGATGTCCTCCTTATATTCATTTATACAGGTATAGTAATTATACCGTAGTGCTGTCTATATGATTCCTATTGAGATGCTTTAAAATCTTTAAATGACATTGAAGGAAGTGATCAAATCCTTATTACTGTGATTTAACATGCTTAGAATATCTAGGTTTATAGGACAGGTTATTTACATAACCTGCTATCCAAGCATCATGTTTTAATCCCATGGCCCAGTAAGCCTGACTTAAGCCTTAGTTCAAATAATTAAGTCAGACCCTACACAGTTTGATCACTGAGATGTGTACAGCTGAGCTGAAATTTCCTTATATCAACTCTAGCCACTAAGGAAGCATGCTCTCTTGTAGCTGTTGTGATGAGACTTAACCTGTATAACAAACACTCCCCTTCCCCAGCTAGCTGACCAAGGTTAGTTAGGGGTCAGGGCCAACACTGAGAATTCAGGCCTAGTTATAGTCATAGTAGTGTTAATGGAGATCAGTCAATCAACAAGCATTTATTAAGGTCAGGCACTGTGGTTGTATCTACTGAGACTGGGTCCATTTTAGGTTGAGCTAAAAATAGCCCTACCATTTAATATTTAAAGTGATTGTCCTTTTAGGGATATTGCTATTATGGGCACAACCCTTCATATATGGTTCCCCAGTGTTTAGAAGGGCCCAGTAGTTCACCTAGTCTTGGTTGTCTCCTATTTTCCCCACCGTTCTCTCTTTTAAATTGTTAAAAACGCCGAGAAGGAGGCTTACTGTGTGCTATGGGGAAAATCAAGCAAGTGTGTCATGGTGACAAAAGGATGGTTCAGGGTTTCGATTGGTGTGACCCTCTTATCTGCATCAATGGTCAGCATCTTCTTCAGCAGGTCTATGAATTCTCGCCGGTCAGCCTTTTCCACTAACATGTCACTCCCTTCCAGATCTGTGGTCATATTCACCTGGAGAGAGATCAAGACAAGTCACAATGGATCCCTCCCTTGACTCTCTCTACATAGTCTGCTTCAGCTTGCCTTCAGCCCACCCCATAATTCAGTAGCCTCCATCTTGCCTATTAGGGGGCCAGGCAGCAAATTCCTCACAGCACTTCTTAGCTAGTTTGAGACATGGGGACAAAAAGGGGGAGGGGGTAAAAGGACCTATAAGACATCAGTAGCCTGCCAGAGAATGAGGTATAAGTTGATTAATGTTTTGACCCCTTAACCCGAAGCAAAGTTATTTGTTATCCTTTATAAAAAATTAATGACAACCGAACAATAAAAAATTAGAAGAAATAAGATGAGGGAAAAGTTAGCCTATGAACACTCTGTGGAAGAAAAACTGACATGTTTTTCATCGTTTTCTAATCTAAACATCACCTCATGGAAGAAATCAGATACTGAATGCCACCTTTACTGTTTTTTTAAAAGCTATAACAAATTTTATTTCAGGGTCTGAATTCTTTCTATCTTGAAAATGTTTTCCCTGGAATGATCTCTGACCACCATGGGCAGGGGTCAGAATTCAACATTTGTAGTTTATATTTGTGCTTATTTTCCAAAGATGCCTTCTGCAGATCATTTTCTGTTGATCCCTTCTAACATGCCTCAAAGTTAAAAAGGTAGCAGTTTTCCTCAAAATCTTTGCTGATCTTAGTTATAGGAATAGGTTTTCAAAGTTATTGGTTTACACATCCCCGTCCCTACATGCCTTTAATGTAAACTCCTCTTCCCATTAAAAAGTTTTATTTTGGTATGATTCTAGACTAATTTGTCACACTTAAGGAGATGGCAGCTTGTACTTACCATAAAGGTATATAATAATTCATTCTTTAAGACCTAAAAAGTAATGACTTCTTCCTCTATGTCTGGGATGTCTGAGTTTACTGATATGGCTAAATTCTTCCACAGGAAATATTAGCAGGATAGATTATTATTAGTCTCACAAAACGAATTCCTTTACTGAAAACTGCTTGTAACAAAAATATCATACTTTTAAGATGTTTCATAGGCCCAAATGGTAACCTTACCAAAACTAGTTAGGGTCTATGTATATATCTTATACCCATGTTCAAAGTAATTCAGGGCTAAATGACATGATTAAGGGAGCTTGTGGATTTCCACCAAGCATTCTTCATCCCATCTGTAAAAGAACTTGGCATTCACTAAGTCCTCTTGTACCTGGGTTATCAAAGGGCTTCCACTACTTACCCATGAAGCTTACCTGTGCCATGTCATCCAAACAGTTGAAAATGTACTTCCTTGCTTCCTTCGACTTAATCCCTGTCTCTGCCTCATGATCATCTGGTGTCTGGTTAAAACAAGTAAAAGCTGACTGGTTATCTAAACTACTCCCAAATCAGCACAGCTAGTACACTTAGCAATTCTGGTCCATGATCCCTTCCCTGTTTTCAAAAGGAAACCTTTCAAAGGCCTTCAATTTTGCAAACTTCATTAAAACCTCACCCAGTGAAAAGCCTCTAGGTTTCAAAATGATCTCTACTAATCAGACTGTTCTCTTCTTCCAAGAGTAATCTGACAGATGAAGAAGAATTGCAGAATTCTCTTTTTACCTTTAGCCTCCACAAAGGATATGGTGAGTCTGTATCACGGTTGAAAAACCTTGTTGTCTTTGTTCCTGCACTTAATAAATATTCTGCTGGCAAACCTTGTGTTTGTGAAATATATCGAATCTGTGAAAGAAGAGAAAATAAAGTCACGGTATCACTGACCTTCTGTTGCATTAGTGGCTTCAGGGGATTTAGGGACAACAGAAATTACAATTTTATATACAAAAACAAAAAGAAAAGAAAATGGAGGAGGGGGAAGAGTAGGAAAGAAAGAATGGAAAAATTAAGAGAATAATGTTTGTAAGTTGGGGCTGAAGTAGATATTTAAAAAAACCTAAATATGCCCATGAGTATGTTGTATAAAACATAAAATTCTAATCTACCCTATTTTCCACAAGAGGAAATAAAGGAAATTAAATGGAGACTTGTCAGGAATATCTGGGATTATCTTGACTCACCTGATCATATTCTGATGCTCCTGGGTATAAAGGCCAACCCAAAAATAGCTCTGCAATGACACAGCCCAAGGACCACATGTCAATCGCCTCACAAAAAGGTAAACCAAGGATAATTTCAGGGGCTCTGAAAAAGAACAGAAGAAACTGCTTAGCAGTTCTAAAACACAAATGGGTGTTCATGACTTTTTGAACTATGAATAATCTGTATAAATGATGTACAGCACTAAGACTGTAAAGCATTTTACATATATATATGTGTATATATATATATACACACATACATACACACACACACACAAACACACACACATATATATGTCCTTTCATCCTTACAATAGCATATATTGATTGTATTAACTTACTGATCCTTATAATAACTTCATGATGTAGGTACTGCAAGTAGTTTATGCCCATTTTACAGATGAGGGTATTTTTGTAATGGATTCACTTTATACATGAAGGGTGGATGCTAATGATCCATCCAAAAGATTGCCATGAAATGCAGGGTGGTTTTTTCAGTAACCAGGAGAACACATGTTTAAGAAGAGTACATGTAGTTGGTCGTCTCGGAATAGAACTGACTGATTCAAGGCAAACCTGTAACCTCAACCTTATTAGTACTGTACTCTAATCAAATGCTGTCTTAGAAGCATTCAGGCAAATATTTTCTAGTATAGGTATGCCTTTCACCATTGCAGACTCCAGTTCCAAACTGTAATAGATGGACATTTGGAGTTGCTGTAGTCAAAAAAGATTTGTTCCCTGATAGCTGTCTTTTGCCTCTTACTAGCTGTGTGACCTTGGGCAAGTCACTTAACCTCAACTGCCTCACAAAAAAAAAATAAATGAATGTCAAAAATTGTCTTTACATGTAACTGGAAAGAGTAAAATACTATAAATCTTATCAAAGGGGTTTATCCGTTAAAAGTACATATCATTGTGAAGAGGAAAGTGATAGCTCCTTCCCTTTCTAGTTTTGCTTTTTTTTTTCTTTCTCTTTTTCACCCATCTTTAAATAATGAAATAAAACAATCATAATCTTGGATGTCATTTCCTAATTCTTCCCCCATTTAAAATTGCACCCTTCAAATCTCCCTGAGTAGATTATCTCCCATTTCTGAACTCTTTTAGGAGAATAAACTACAAAAACAAAAATCCTCTGTCAGTCTTGTGATTCACTAATTAGTGTTGCAGAATAAGCTTTCCAAAAGGTACTGTCATTTCTTTAAAGCTGTTCTGCAGCCATTCAAGATATAGTACTGTCCTGTCTGATGTAAAGGTATATGCAATGGCCTAGAATACTCATGTAAAAATTCTTAACCAAGTTTGCCCTAGTTTTGCTTGGTATAAAACTTTAGATTGTTTATAAAGTCCAAATTTTACAGTGAAACAGCACTTAAGTCAAAAATAAATTAATTTCATTAAGTTATGTCAAACTCTTTCTGTACTCACCACATTCCCTACTTGCAGAATCAGGTTATTCATACGGTGCTAGCTTGGGGCATGTTATAGAAGAAGCAACTGCCTTGAAAGGATCTTTATCTAGCTACATTCTCACTGCTGTGGTCCGTACTCCTCCTACTCGGACCCAAGGCTATGTGGCTTAGCAGAAAGAATGCTGGATTTGAAGTCTAGAAGGACCTGGGTTTGAATCCTACTCTGATAGGTAAGCTTTTGCCCCATTTTGTTCCAAACTAGGCCTCTCTACCATTTCTCAGCCATCTTCATACTATGCTGCCTGCCCTCCATTATCCTCATCTTCCTCCTACTACAACCTTGGAAGATATTAATAAAACTATTAATAATGACTGAACCAATCCCTCAGGCTTGGAATAAGGATTAAATGAGATGATGAATGTAAAATACTTTGCCAACTTGAAAGCACTATTTGAAGGATGGCTCTCATTGCTGTTGTCCAGACCCTTTGTCTAGGCTACTGACCCAGTAGGTTATCCTAAGTTCTTGATCTTTTCTGCTTGACCTGCAGGAGTCTGAACTTTTCCTAGCCCAGCTGACTTTCTTGAACTTAATACTTTATCTGCCTAAACTGTTGTCACCGTCTACCTCTCAGATTTTTGTTGACTTATTGCTGGATTTTTGGCCCCCATGATTTATGACACTTGACAGTTCTTTTCCTGCCTAACTAAACTGTCAGGGCAGTTCTGAATAGAACTGACTTCAAGAGATGTATGTAGTCTGATTTGGGGAGATGAGATACATTCAGGAAATATTTAAATAGCAGCAGTAGTACTATTAACTCATTTATATAGCACTTTCTGGGGTTTCAAAAGTGCTTTCCTCACAACTCTTGAGGTAGCTTATGCAATATTATTTCTATTTTACAATATTTATTTCTATTTTATAAGGAAACTGAGGCTGAGAGAGAAGTTAAATGACATATCCAAGGCCACACATTTATAAAGTATAGCAATCAGAACTGATCCAAGTCCTTCTACTTTAAAACCCTGTGTTTCCTATTACATTATTACTCAACTCTCTTAAGATGTATCAGGGAAGGGAAGAGATTGCTGTGGGCTGAGATGGTTCAAGGAGGAGGTAGGGATTAAGTTGGATCCTTACTGACCAGTAAGATCTCTAAGCATAGGCAGAAATAAGGGAAGAAGAGTATAAACCGAAGTATAAAGTACAAAGGTAGAACTGTGTGCCATGGTTCACCTGTTCAAATTTCTATTCCAAGGTCTGTGAGCATATTCATTAGCCAGATCTTAAGGCTAGTACTACCCTTTGGAGAAGCTTGGCTTCTTCAAATACAGTATGATATTCTAAATCTGGTTCCAGTCTCATAAGCATCTATGTGGTTTGGAGAGTGGACGCTGACTTTATGCATTACTTTAGTTCCCTCAGATGGCTGGAAGCTGCCTTCTGTGTTTTTTCCTGAGGCAAACATTCCTCAGTTCACTGAACCTCTGGGTCTCCATATTCTCTGTAAAATGAGAGCGTTGGAAATGACCTCTAAGATCCCTTCCAGTTTTAAATGTGTGTCCCTAAATTCCTTTTTGGCCCATCTTCTAAGTTGGTTCCTGGTGGAGGAATAGCTCTTAGTTCAGATGCAGAAAAGAGATGGCTGGCATGTCCTCAGCTATATGAATAATCATTACTTTTCTGGTTTAGGTGACTAGATCCAACTCACTTGCCCCAGTTCTCTCAGGGAAGTGGTTTCCCAAAATCTTACCATCTTTAGTTTCATACTACCAAAACTATTTTAAACATACATTGACACCAAAGGACGAGAATGTCTGTTTCCTTACAGGTTCATCATATACACACAGCATGATACTGAAATATCACACTGTTCTAAAGAGAACAAACAAATGTCACCTCTCAATACATTAACGCTGAAGCATTTATCTAGGCTGGCTGTGTTGACAGCTCTCATACATTCAGTTCATAGAATAACTAGAGTGGAATCCTTTCAAAACAGATGTTGGGAACTAACAACTGCTTTTTAAGATAATCCCACTGGAACAAGTTTTTTTATGGTATGTTTTTGTTGTTTCAAGGACGTGATTTGAGCTACAATATCCAAATCTGTTTTATGACTTAATGTTCACTCAATGCTATAATGTCCTGCAGAAAATGATAAATAACACACCACTCTTGCTTTCAAGAAGGTTGCCATCTAGGAGGGGTGATATAATACATATACATATACATAAATATAAACAGTGTAACATTTTAGAATATAGTAAATGCCTAAGTACAAACAATGTGCTGAGACTAGACAGAGAAATCCCTCTTGAATGGGCAATTAGGGAGGACTTCATGGAGGAGGAGGCACTGGAGCTAGACTTTGAGGTACTCTATACTGAAAGGGACCTTAAAGCTAACTTAGTTATCTAGGCCACTGCCTGATACTTTCCAATAACAGAGAGCTTACTATTTTGCATGACAGCCAGTCCCATTGCTGGATAACTCAGAAAAAAAATTCTACCCTGTTTATAGCTGAAATTTGTCCCCCTCTAACTTCTACTATTGGGTTTAGTTCTGTCTTCTGAAAAACAGATCTACCTGGGGAAGATTTATTGGGGGAGAGCAAACAGGCACAATACTGTTAGTGTTACTCTGTGTGATCATAGCAACAGAGGCAATAAAACAGTCTGCTCATTCACACGAGAACTCCCTGGCCAATTATGAGGTTGAGTAAATATCCTATTCCCTTTTGTATCACATTAATAAAAGCAGCATAAGATTCAACAGCAATCTTTAACTTGGTAACATACCTGGAGCATTAATTGGCAAGTTCTGAATTTACTATGACTATATATTCAAGAGAACATTATTTAACTTTTCCAAAATTAAAATTGGGCAAAAGTAGTCAAATTGGGAAAGTGGGGTTTTAATTATACCAACTTTTAGTCTATTGTTTGTATTAGAAAGTCAAAGAAACCCTAAAACTGTGGATATGAACTCTGCCACCTATGCAAGCCAGTGACCTGGAGAGGCAGGCAGGACATTGTGAAGGCATATGGGATCAGTCAGAAAACAGGAGAGATATGAAGAATGAAGAACTGTCCTATTTTAGATAAACTGTTTGGAAAGATATGGGGCACGATGATTGATGAAAAAGGTAGAAATGCATGGGGGAGGGGGCACCAGATAAGTATACTAACCGACAAGAGACAATTCAGATGGGAAAGGCTGGAAAGAATGCAAAAGATTAGGGTTATGGGTTTTAAAAAGACAGGCTAATTGAAAGAGCAACATGGAAGCTGCCTGGTTGAGGTTCTGGTGGTTGTGGACAGAAAAGGACCTTATTACTTCATCAGCCACGTGAGTTGAGAGAAATATTTTCTAACTTGGACTAGAATCTTTAGAAATAATTAAGGGTAGACTAATGAGGAAGGGCAAGGTGACCCAAGAAATGGGTGAGATTATAAGAGTGTGCTGAACATCCCAGGAAGGAGACAGAAAAGACCTAAAAGGCTGATTTCTGTGCTGGCAGCATTGGCATTGAGTAGCTTACAAAATGCTTTTATAATGCACATATTTGTACAGCATAGATGAGAAACTGAAGGTCCCAGTGCTAATGTGATTTGTCCACTGTCACACAGCTACTAAGCTGGACAGTCAGGACTAGAATCAGGTCTTCTGACTCCATGTCCA